CAATTATAACCATGAAGAACACTATAATTCAATTACCCACCTTATACTGATAACACCTTAGGTAAATTGTACCAAAACTTAGATCAGACACCGAACAAAGTCAATTTTGAATGTCACTCGTAAACAGACGACTCGAAGAAAACAAAAATGATAGTTCTTAACCCATATTACCAGTGTCATATCAGTATCATTATCTTTAAAAAAAAAATGTTTTGTTTAGAAAATACAATGGAGGTACGATTTAACCGTCGGTACGACTTAGTCAACTCTCCCCTATATATATATATATATATATATATATATATATATATATATTTCAAATAGATTGTGTTAAAAGTCCAGTAGTAACGGCACGCAATATCATATTTCTGAGAATAAGTGGCGTTTCTCATATTTATCATAAATTAAATTTCCCCTGAACAAATACTTTTTGAACATACATTTATTGTATAGAATACAAAATAAATATTACACACGCTTATATAATAATATATTTTCTCCGTAATTCCCTACCGTTAGTGATCTGTATGTATAAAATTCTTTAGCAATTAACTTATAAGTACGTAAAAATTCAGATATTTCACTCGCAACTTTATCAAATACTATCACATAAGTCGGTAACATAACTTTCGCATTGTTAATATAATTATCTCTGAGCCAGACTGTTGCATTCGCAAAGAACTGATCGGCTTCATCTATGTAGTTTTCAGTGTTGCTCAAATTAGGCTCGCATGTCAAAAATCTTATTGATATGTTTACATGTAAATGACTATACAATGGTGTGCTGTGGCACGGAGTCAAAATCAGCGTATCCGTCAATGAAGTATTTGTACGAGTAATTTCGTTTCGCAGATTCGCCATTATCGTTAGCGTGCCACGTTGGTGAATCATGGAAATGAACAATCCAATTATGATATTACTGCACATAAACATCATTATGATCCTTTTACGTACGTTAGCGTTAATATTCAAATGTTTAAGACTAGCGAAACTCGTGCATATTAACAATGGCAAAAGTGGTAAGATAAATCGAAATTCCTTATGAGACAATGACGAGTAAACGAGTAAAGTCCAACAGATTATTCCTAGCATAACCCCTTCTTTAGCAAGGAAAAAAGGTTGCTTATATATTGAGTAGAAAACAAACAGGAATGGAAAGAAATGCAACCCAAGCAGCACAGGTAAAGCAGTATAAATATACCATAACCAGTGCTTGATGCCATATGTGTTCCCAACATTCCTAAGTACGTTCGTGTGGAAGAATTTCCAAGGAGTTATAACAAACATTCCATAACAGTAACAATCTACTAATATAGAAATTATGGCGCAAGTAAAACATATTAAAATGCATCGACTAAGCAGTAATTTCTTTTTTAATGCATCGCGACGAATATAACGAAGACAATGAACGTGAATATAACACAAAGGAAGCCACATGATTGCAGCGGTGGGTCTTATCATACAGAGAAAACCTATGATCCACATATATTTTAAACTTAGTATGGAAATTGCTCTCCCTAGTATTGGATGAATTGATAATGCTATAATAGTACATGCAGTTTCCACTGAGTTTATCAGTGTCCTAGTGGCACAATAATACCAGAATGGATTCAAGCACAAGGAGATGAGCATCCACTTGTTTTGAGTCCATTGGTAAAATCTGTAATCTGCATAGGCGACGAGAATAGCTTGAAAAACGCGGGGCAGCATTGTCAACAGCAGCATGTAATCCAAGGAAAATTTGGCAAGTATCCGATAAAGGATTGATATGAGAAACGGATACATATAACTACGAATCATTGTTGTCCATTCCCATGTGAGGTATCCATAACCGAACGCCAAACGATGAGCCACCTCCAGCGACTGCCAGTACTCGTCTGGCACATGAGCAGTCCGCACCACAATCACGCTGATTAACCGCCATAATATCAGAAGCAGTAGCAGTCCAAACTCTTTTGATAAACGCATCTCAGATCGGCAGTCTCAAATCAGCGTGTATCATTGGCAACGGATACGTAAGCTTCTTGAGTTTCACACATGTGAAACTCGTTTCCGCGAATAAATAACCAGATTTGAGTCTAACAAATAAAAAGATAATTGTTTAGTGGTAATTATACAATTTAGTTACCTCAAAAATCAAGAAAATTAGGCTTAACCAATGCGTTTTTGCATGAAATTAAAGAATCTGACAGAAATAAGCGTCACTCTGCCCCACGGACCAAAATATTAAGCGTTAAAGTTGACTACTATTGAGGTTAGGAAATCTGTCATAGAAACAAAATGAGGTCTATAATTGTACTGTTCCACAATCCACATGGGTTTCGAGTTTCGACTTTCCACGCGAAGCGACCTGATACCCCCATCCTTCTCTTACAAAGGGGCGCACGACTTTTATAATTGTACTGTTGCAAAATCGAAACCCACGTGCAACAGTACAATTATAGAAGTCATGTGTCCCTTTGCAGGAAGGATGGAGGGTGAGTCGCTTCGCGTGGAAAGTCGAAACCCATGTGGAAGAACGCTGATTTTACAATGAGTCGGTAATCGGTAGTCTAAAAGTCTTATCGGTGAAGTTGACCAATAGTCAATTTACACGATTAATGCCCATTTCCACCAACGTAGATTAACTTCAAGCTCAGTTCAACTTTTTATCTTTTTCTAATTCTCGGAACTGGAAAAAGATGAAGAGTTAGTTAAACCGAGATTAAAATTAAACTATATTGGTAGAAACGGGCCTAAGGCTGATTGGCTAACTTCACCGATTAAGCCTAAGACTTCCGACTACCGACTCATTGTAGAATCAGCAGAACAGTACAATTATAGGTTTTATTTTGCCTCTGTGACAGATTTCCTAACCTCAATAGTAGCCAACTTTAACGTTTAATATCTCGGTTCCCAGGGCAGAGCGACGTTTATTTCTGCCAAATTCTTTCATTTCATGCAAAAACGAATCGAATAAGCCTAATTTTACTGATTCTTGAGGTAATTGTGCTAAACTGTAAAATTACCTGTTCAGTTTAGCTACTTCAGAAGCCACTTCGGAAATTGATGAAATTAAGCTCACTCAACGCATTTTTGTTCGAAATACCTCCAAAACGAATGAATCTGACTGAGAAAAGTATGAAAAAGCATCGCTGTCTCGCGAACCAAGATATTGGCTGCGTTCAGCAGAAAAAGCAATTTTGCAACTGTTTGTAAAATTCTTGAATATGATTGGTTTATAGATTGGTTTAGATCCAACGAGGAACTAAGGCCAAGACCAATCATATTGAAGAATTTTACCAACAGTTGCAAAGCTGCTTTCTCTGCTGAACGCAGCCATTAAGTATAATAAAGGTACATTTTCACGTGCTGCTAAAATAAGCAATTAGAGCATCAGATTTATGGCTCGTTATTCAGCGGCCAAAATTTTGTAGTTTCAACTACAAGCGTCAAACACTATATTGACAGTTACTACGTTTACACGTTTACGCTTTACGCCGAAGTTATAACATCGATGTTATGAAACTGGTCAGTCACAGTCATTCCATTCTTCAGAGGAATAGCTATGATTGGTCAGTTTCATAACATCGATGTTACAACTTCGGCATAAAGCGTGCCGTGTAAACGTAGTAAGTGCTGACATACTGTATCGACCGTGTTGACCACTAACTGCAATATACATAATCTAATTTATTCTTTTTTTTATTACTGATTCAATGCAATCAGAATAATCTAATAACTGTTTAATTCAGCGTATTAATATTGCAAATGATACGTGAAAGATACGAACAACATAACGAATCTGTCGCTCAAATGTCAAATTTTAATTTAACGCTTCTTGCCCTTTTTCATGTATAAAATTGTCGCTCTAATAGGCCTTCTACAATAAGCCGCAAGTCAGAACGTCAGAAGTCTTAACCAGTCTTAACCAAGTCGTTCAAGTTGGCTATTGGCCAAGTTCACAGATTATGACTTAAGATCGCTTAGAACTTCTGACTTGCGGCTTATTGTAGAAGGGCTGTAATAGTTTTGTGACAAAAGTCGTCACGTGATCCTTTTTTGTCGCTGAAACGGCCAGTTTGAGCTAGTGTTCCTAGGAACACTGGTTTGAGTAGCTCGTGAAAATGCACCTTTAAGGTAAATTTTCACGAGCAGCTCTAACCGGCTGTTTTAGCGACAAAAAAGATTACATCAAAATTGACGAACATGAAGCGTCCATTTGGGTGACACCCAGTTGGACACGAGCCATTCACAGCGCTTGAAACTACAAAGCTCCTAAGCATCGGTCGCTGTGATTGGTGGTGTCCAATCGAGCTGTGATCAATCGGGATCACCCCGCTGCTGCATACAAAATTGCTGTAACCCCAGATCTACAATACGTGTTGTAAGCATTAAGCCATAAGAAATCAACCAATTACTCCGGATCTACAATAGGTGTTTTAAGCCTTAAGCCGTGAGAATTTGACCAATTACAGTCGAATCCGAGAAGAAAAAGCGACTGTGATTCGCCCATTTCTTATGGCTTAAGGCTTAAAACCCTATTGTAGATTCGGACTTACCCCGGATCTACAATAGGTGTTTTATGCTTTATGCCGTAAGAAACTGACCAATTACAGTCGAATCCCAGAAGAATAAGCGACTGTGATTCGTCCATTTCTTATGACTTAAGGTTTAAAACTCTATTGTAGATCCGGACTTAAGGGCTTCACACATGAAATGCATAACAGAGCATAAGCATAACATAAGACTGCTGGACCAATGAGCATCTAGCATAATGTCGCCATATTGATTTACATGAGATGCTCATTGGTTTAGCGGCCTTATGTTATGTTTATGCTCTGTTATGCGTTTCATGTGCGATAGCCCTTAGGGCTGCCGCACACACCTTCCGTAACAGTAACCATAAGACGTACCATAAGAATTAGCCAATCACAGTAGAGAATTTTTTTGAACTCTCTTAATTCTGATTGGCTGATACTTACGGTACGGCATATGCTGGATTCACACTGCATCCGATTTGCGTCGTACGACGCTCTGTAACCAATCAG